GAATCTATTCGTCACAAAAATCATATTTTAAACATATTTTAGACATATTTTAAACTAAACAGTTCCTAATCCCGAGTTGTCAACGTCGTTGTTAAGGTCAATATTTACATGTTGTTCAACGTTATTTTAGCAAATATTCTACATACATATATACTGTTAAGATGACCGAGTCAGATCATAAGTAAGCTTATCAAGAATATAAGTTAGAATTGGAACAGTTGTAATATATTTTGCGATAAAAACATGTAATCGTTATATACGTTGTTATGTGTTGCTAAGTCATTAGCGACGCTTGCGTGCATGCATATATTAACGTACAATATATTTGTACACTAATCAGACGGGCGGATCGCGCGGGCGGAAAGAGCGGGCTTTGCCGGCAAACATTTACACAATATTTCAGTTTTTAAATACATTTATTTCTTCAAAACGTTTCACAAAATTTAGTACGGTCTACTTCTAAGAGCGTAACGTCTAGGAGTTTTTGTTATTTTTAAAGAGTTTTCATATTCTTGTCTATCTTCTGGGGATAACTTTGCAACATCTTCTTCCTTCATTGGAATATATTTCGGCCTCTTGCGAAGTAATCTTTGTTCGTAACCTTCTCTTTGTGCAGGGGTCATCATTGCCAAATCTTGGGGCCTCCAATCAGTAGAGTCTACCCAGTTGTGGAAGAAGTTGCGCTTGAGTTTTGGCCGTTCCTCTTCTGTTGGTGGTGGTGTAAGGAAATTAGGTTTAGGAGTAGCAGGCACTGGTGGTGGTATTTCCGCTATTACAGGCGTAGCATGCACTGGTGGTGGTATCTCTGCAGGCACTAGTGGCGTTGTCTGAACAGGAGCTTTAGCCGGAACATCCATCTTATTTTTGAATGTGAGAAACCGATTTAGTTGATCAGAGTATAATTTGCTTTTTTCCACTGCGCTAAGCTGTGGTGCATCCATGATTTCTTTCATTCGCTGCTCGGCATCATACATTGCATTTACAAGCGGTGGTTGACGATACGACTGTTTGTGTATAAACTTTGCAATCTCGCCGGGAAGTACGTTTGTCTTGAATCGATCTTGGTCACTCGTTGTCGGCTTTAAATCCAACATCAAATACCCGTGAGGCCGGCTCGTAGCATCTTCATAACTCCTCATAAACTCTTGTACTTTGCCGGGATTTATTTGCCTTGCAAGCATAGAAATTTGTTGTTTATCTCTTGGTGACTTGAACAATACGATATAATGCGCATTAAGGCTGATATTTCTCATTTCTTTGCCCTGATGAAATATATTTTGGACAATATAGATGATGGACAAATTTCGATGATGGCTTCCTTTCGTAAAAAGATCAGAAATACGTTTATCTTTGCCAGATTGAGCCATAAGATCATCCAATACGATCAAATTCCGTTGCGATACGTCCAAGTAATCTGCATTGTCGATATCGTCGGGGATGCCTTCATAAAACTCGATTCCAGGCATTATCTTCATCATATCAAAATAGGACGGTTGCCATTGACCATAACACCAAATGATACGTTGAGGAGTAGGACTTGGACTTATAGTCGTTTGAGCATTCTCGAAGAGAGATTTCACCCATACGGTTTTGCCGCTTTGGGTACATCCTGCAACGATGCACGTTAAGGAATGCTGCATGACTGTAACCCCATTCACCGTAAGAGTTTGCTGCCCAAGATTACGAGTTCCATATGGATGGACAACATTCTTGTGGCGAAGGAGATTACTCGCATTTGCAAACGTTTTACCGCAGATGTTGCATTCATAAGACATGTTTACTTCTCGAAAGTCAAAAGCAAGGGTGAAGAGGTGTATTTATCCCGTTAGTTATTGTCACGACTATGAAAACTATAGTAAAGACTATGAAGACTATAGTCATGACTATGGTGAAGACTATTAAGACTATAGTAAAGACTATGAAGACTATAGTAAAGACTATTAAGACTATAGTAAAGACTATAGTCATGACTACGAAGACTATAGTAAAGACTATGAAGACTATAGTAAAGACTATGAAAGACTATAGTCCTGACTATGAAAGACTATAATCCTGACTATGAAAAATATAGTCCTGACTATGAAAGACTATAGTCCTGACTATGAAAGACTATAGTCCTGACTATGAAAGACTATAGTCCTGACAATGAAAGACTATAGTAAAGACTATGAAAGACTATAGTCCTGACTATGAAAGACCATAGTCCTGACTATGAAAGACTATAGTCCTGACTATGAAAGACTATAGTCCTGACTATGAAAGACTATAGTCCTGACTATGAAAGACTATAGTCTTAACTATGAAAGACTATAGTCCTGACTATGAAAGACTATAGTCCTGACTATGAAAGACTATAGTCTGACTATGAAAGACTATAGTCCTGACTATGAAAGACTATAGTACTAACTATGAAAGACTATAGTCCTGACTATGAAAGACTATAGTCCTGACTATGAAAGACTATAGTCCTGACTATGAAAGACTATAGTCCTGACTATGAAAGACTATAGTCCTGACTACGAAAGACCATAGTCCTGACTATGAAAGACTATAGTCCTGACTATGAAAGACTATAGTCCTGACTATGAAAGATTATAGTAAAGACTATGAAAGACTATAGTCCTGACTATGAAAGACTATAGTCCTGACTATGAAAGACTATAGTCCTGACTATGAAAGACTATAGTAATAATATTATTATTATTAGATTCGTTTATTCAAATAAAACACTTTGCAGTCATAGACTGAATTATGTGAATATTTACAACAATTGAGTTTTATACATTATTACAACAATTTTGAATAATTAAAAATAAAAGTAACTGAGTAAGTCAATTTATCACCTAGATTAATTGTTGTTAAAATTTATATATTTAAGCTATGACTAATAATAAAAGATTTTTTAAGACGATCTGTCTTACTAACAGGTACATTAAACCTTCGTTCGCTCCTTAAATCGTTATGATGATGTGCTTGCGGTGGAAGTAGGCCACTGAGCTTATGATTCGGATTATTAACAATATCTTCAAAAAGATGACTTGATAGTTGGGCTCGTCTGTCGAAGAGAGTGCAAATGCCGGCGTCTTTTAGCGCGTCAGCATATTTCAAGTCCGGGTGGATGATACGCATAGCGCGCCTTTGGATACTCTCAAGTTCATTTGACAGATATTTAGGGAGACTCCGATGAAATAACTGGCACGAATATTCCAGAAGTGATCTGATGGCACTACAGTAAAAAGTGATAAGATCTTTTGGGCAGATCCCGGCTCTTTTTAATTGTCTCAAAAGATACAGTCGTTTTGCGGCTTTTACGGTGACAATACCGATATGGTCGTTCCACTTAAAATCGTCCCGGATTGTTACGCCAAGAATTTTGGCCACGCTAACTCTTTCTAACTGGAAATCATTGAGTTCGACTAAAGGGAATGATGGAGGGTTTCTCTTGAAACATGATCGTACTTCTTTACACTTAGTTGGTTTCAATTGTAATCAATTTTCTTGAGACCATGCATCGATATAGTCAACAGCTTGCTGAAGAGAGCTTTGCTTGGAGGGTGGTATCACTTCAGAGATTGTGCAATCATCGGCGAATTTCCACATAGGTAAGGATTCCTGAGGTAGCTTAAGATCATTGATTAGTACTAAAAACAACCAGGGACCAAGACGGGTTCCTTGAGGCACTCCTGCTGGGACGTCAAGCCAATCGGAAACGATGTTTTTTAGTTTAACCCTCTGCTTTCTATGTCTTAGGAAATCAATTATCCAATTGACGGCCGTGGGTTTTACGCCTATACTAAACAGTTTGGCGACTAAAATATTATGGTCCACAAGGTCAAAAGCTTTGCGGAAATCTAAAAGTTTGGTTCTTACGGTGGATGCAGTGCTGTCAGTAGCTCGTAACCAATGATGGAACATAGAGATTAGTGCTAGAGTAGTTGACGATCCTGGGATGAACCCAAATTGGCCTGGGTCGATAATAGGTAGTAGAACAGGTTTCAACGCAATGTCTATGATGAAGCTCTCAGCAACTTTTGAGAGGGTGGGTGTTAGAGAGATTGGTCTTAAATCCTCATTGATGTTGCAGATAGAAGATGCCTTAGGCAGAGGACAGACATTGGCAAGTTTCCATGCGTCAGGAACTTTACATTCCAAGAACGAAGTATTTAGGATATCAGCAATTGGGGCCGCTAGAATATACGCAAAATTTTTAAGTACCCAGTTAGGGAGGTTGTCGGGACCACTGGCACGAGAAGCATTTAGCTCTAAAAGCTTTCTTGCGACAGAGTGTTCAGTGACAGATATTGGTCGATCATCAGCCATTTCTACACGTATACAATCTGACAGAGGTAAATAATCATTCATTATGTTGACAAACGCCGAATTGATGTTTTCAGCCAGAGATTCCTTATCACAGACAAGGTTTGGATGGAGTAATGAGATTAGGTCCCGTTTTGGAATTTTACTGGCGCCGCAAATCTGTTTAACTTCACTCCACCAGTCACGGGGCTTGGAATTTCGTAAACCTTTAACTTTATTAACGTAGTAGGATTTTCTGCAGCGTTTGCATACTTGGTTGACCTTGTTTCTTAGAATTTTGTAGAGAGGATTGTTACCAGATGTAAAAGCTTTTTGGCGAAGAGATATAAGCTGTTTTAGATTAGTGTTCATCCAGGGCCGATTCATGTATCTTGATGATTGACACGGGGATGATGGTATTTAGGCCAAAATTTATTATATCTGTAAGGATGTTAAGCTTATCTTTACTTGACTGAGCCAGGGAGAACAAGTCAGACCAAGGTACTTGCTGAAGAAATCGACCAACACTTGCTATTTTACTGGTTCGTTCATCTCTCGTCGTAATTAATTTGCGTTTGGGCTTGGAGGTTTTATCACAAATTCTAGCCGAGATAAATATGGTTTGATAGTCCGAAAGACCAAAAGCGGGTAAACTACACGGAGATGAAAAATACTCTGTAAGGTTGGTAAAAAATTGGTGAAGAGTTCTATCGCCTCTAGTAGGGAAGTCAACGACCGGTCTAAGTTAAAAGACTTTCACAGCGGACTGGATCAAGGGGAGGAGCGTTTTGTTGAAGTCTCCAGCTAGAACGATTGCGCAATTGGGGTATTTTATCTCTAAGATCTCCAAGGACGATATAAGGTAGTCCTTCATAGTGGCGTCGTCCGCGGCTGGAAGTTGATATACTACAGCTACTATGATATTTGAGATACCACGTGCTAAGCGTTTTAGTCGAAGATTAGCCCAAAGAACATCATGATCACTGTGAGATTCCAACATATATAGTCTTGTTCACCAATGTTTAGGCTATACGGAAATGCCAGTTGGCGGCTTCTAACAAGAAATGCCAACAGAGTGTGACTTTCAGAGAGTTGGCCGGTCATCTAATATACATTCTGATGAAGAATAAAGAAAACCTCAACTATGAAATAATTTCTTTTATAAACTCGTATATAATTATAACTATGTCAAAAAATTCAATTTATTTAATTTTCTAGTATTATTACAAAGCACCTGGTGAAAGACATTTAAACATGACTGGTTTGCACTGGCTAAAAAGTGGACAAATTACATCATGCATGTTCTCTATAAGTCACTTAATCGTGTTTTTTTATAACTTGTATTTACACGAACCATCAGTGTTACTATAGATATATCGCTACTACAACTTGTTCTTTTGTTCTTGTTTCAAGCAATTTTGCTCTGTAGCTCGAGAGACGATTCGCAAACTTTCTTTAGACTTCGTATAAATTCTAGTTGGTCATAACTATCGCTTGTAGCTTCGTTCTCCTGTCCAAAGAGCTTTATCCTGATATCAAGTGCATGTTGACATGACTCCAAAGCAGAATCATAATCTTGCATTTCGCACTGACAATTTGCAATCCATGAGTAGCTGTTAGCGGAGGATGCGTGTTCCTTTCCATAGAGCGCTACCTTAATATCCAGGGCTTGCTGGTGCCAATGCAGAGCTGAATCGTATTCTTTCAAGCAACACTTTGTCGCTCCAATCTGATTACAAGCGGAGGAAACGTCTGGGTGGATTTTCCCATGAAGATTTTGTCCGATATCAAGTGCTTGCTCGAACGATTCCAGTGCTGACTCGTAATCTTTTTTCATTAATTGGCTATGTCCAATCTCGATATAGCTTCTCGCGGTATCTGCATGGTTGAGCCCACAAAGCTTCAGTCTGATGTCTAGTGCTTCGTAATGACATGTCAAAGCAGCGTCATAATTCTTCTGTGTGTCTAAAATTAATCCGATGTTATAGTACCTTGCGGCTGCATCCGGGTTTAACCGACCATTTTCTTGTATAAAATTATCAAGAGCGAGTTGCAGCGTTGCTGGACTCTCTTGCTTTACTTTGGTCCTTGCCAGGGTGTTTTCAACGATGAAGAGTAGGGGCAAGGATAGATGGTCGTTCCGTGCCTCGGCTTCGACTTCTTTCAGTAACTTGGAGACGGGCAAACCAAGTTTATACATTACCTTCTTCATGTCATAACATTCCGCAGTGTTGTTGATGAGAAGAGCAAGCGGCAAAATTAGTGGTTGACTTAAAGTTTTTGAGTTTTCATTCTCATTCTCGTCAGCGCAATCATCTTCTTGTATAGCTTTGAAGAAATCATACAAGGATGGTCTGTTAGCGCATTCAGTTAAAACAATGTTCCGGTGGTAGGAAGATTTTTGTGCGTGACGAGTAATCAAAACAAGAATCTGGGAGCATAAAACTTTAAGTACAGTATTTTCAGAACTCAACAGAGATATCCCTGTTTCAATCATTTCCTCTCCTTTCGCTGTCGCTTTATGACTTAGCAAGTGAATACCATGGTAACACATTCGTTTTCCCCTGGCAACTTCTGAAGGAAGGAGAAGATTTTGTTTCTCTATTTCTTCAGCCTCTTTTAGTAATGGCAATGTAGCTCCATCATACCAGGTTATCTGAGAAAAAGCTTTAGCAATTAGCAGTTGGTGGACAGCTTTAAATTTACGCTGCTCTTTTGCCTTCGCTATTGCTAATTTATAAATTTCTTGAAAAATCTGTGCATGTTCAAAGTAGAAAATAGTGTCCAGAAACAGATCCGCATCGGAAAGAACATCGAAAATTGCGTGGCAGACTCCTTCATTTTGAAGACCTTCGGAGAGGCTATGCACCATATTTTCATTGTTAAATTCGAAATCGTGAAATGCGAGCAGAGAATTTCCAGCGAGAAACTGGTTGTTTAAATCTTCAAACAACTTGACGTAATAACTCTGGAATCGCCTTTGTGCTTCGCGAGCAATTTCTTTCATGTCATCAGCTGCTTTTTCGGAACCAAATGACCTGATCAGTGGGTGAAAAGAAAACAATCCTGCTTCGGAGGAATTTGCTTCAACCAATGATTTTCTCTTGAGCCTCACCAAAGTTTTCTTTGCTGTGTCTTCATCTCCTCCAATGACGTTTACTGCTGCTTGCTCGTCGAACACTTCACTGACAAAAACTGAAAGACAAACAAATCCTTCTTGCTCTTCTCGAGATAGTCTTTTGAAATAAGACTCGAACAAGACCTTTAAACGTTGATCATTAGGCGCATCTGGGTCGTCTAACAAGTCTGGTAGCTTTTTTGAAAAATGGCTAAAGTTGTCAAGGAATTGAGATATACTCTTCTTCTCGTCAACGATTTGACCGCACAAAAGCTTGATGGCCAGCGGAACGTCTCCGCAAACCATAGCCACTCTACAGCATTCACTTTCATCAGCAGGAGGGACAAGTTCTCGAACAATCATTTGTGCCGATTTCCTGCCCAGCGATGCAACACCGACACACGTGTGACCAGCAAATTTTCTTCCCAGCACCGATTGGAGACTTATCCTTGTGGTCAGTAGAAAGGATACATTCTTGCAATGAGAGAAGATCTTTTCCAGTAGGTCTAAAACATGTTGGCTCGTTTCACCACTACTCTCAAAAAGGTCATCGGCGTTATCGAGGATGATACAAATATTGGAAGGAATTGCACTGAGGAGTCCGCATAGTTTTGAACGCTCTCGCCCCGTTAGATCAGAAGACGTATGTGCAAATGTGTTGAAGAGGTTAGAGATCAGTTCTTCCGCTGTCTTGATGCTTCTCAAGGAAAGGAAATAAACTGGTAGTCCGAGCTGTCTAAGTTGGTGTCCTACTGCAATTGCCAATGAGGTTTTGCCAAAACCAGGGGGTCCAGATACAGAGACTAGCCGAGCAGATGTGGACGTCAACGCACGCGAGATTTCTTCAACTTTTTGTTGTCGACCAATAAAATAGGGCACCATGGGAGGAAGGCAGGTCTTAGGCACGGACTTGTCAAACACTGTGGTCAAATATAGAGAATACGGTTAAACTGTAGCTGTTACCTGCAAGACTAAGGGCGAAAAAGCAAAAAGCAGTGAAGCGCTGGCTTGTTTTAAAAAGTACTCGGGGGGGGGAGGACTGAGCTACATCACGCACTATAACATATATATATATATATATATATATATATATATATATATATATATATATATATATATATATATATATATATATATATATATACATATATATATATAGTGTGTTTTCACATGACATCACGGCATAAATTAATTTTATACGCCGCCATGTTGGTGGAGTGAAGTTCCAACAAGGCGGCCAGCGATTCGAAACTAAACGTAAACAGCGAGGCAGAAAAAGTAATTATTCACGAGATTCCTTTGTCTGAACATGCAAAATCTCTCGAATACAGATTGTGGTGTATTTCAAATGATTAATCATATATCAAATGATTCAGATTGTGGTGTATTTGCAATCGCTTTTGCGACAAGTCTTGTTTACACAATGGATCGGTCATCGGTGGATCCAAATATCCCACGATTTAATAATATACATGTATTAATACAGATGTGAACTTACTTGTATGCTTGCCTGAAAGCTGGTCTCATTACTCTCTTTCCGACGGCTGAGAGCACAAAATAAAAAAGCTTACACCAATATTCAGTTTGCATTTTTATTGAACTAACTGTTAAAATTATTATACATAAAACTCTATCAAAGATACAAACTTTTTGCATTTGAAAATTATTACAGACTTAAGACTTTGATAAACATTAAACATTTTTTGTTGGTCAAGACTGAGAACCTCCACATGGTGAGTCATTGGTGACCTGGGCAACAGCATGTTGTGTGAACACGGTGCGGATTAGCATACCAGGACCCCTATATTGTTTAACTGGACAACATTTTATTTTGCATATTATTTGTACAATGTCATATGTTGGTCTGTTAAAGTGTTAATCTACCCCTGTGTGATTGCAAACTTTTGCACAACCTTTTGGCTAATCTCAGCACTTTACACAAAATATGGCTTTGTCAAATCATATCTATGGGACCCTAAAATAGTTTATTGCCCTGGCCTACCCCAAGTCTTTGGGTGACCCAATCAATTAGTTAACCCCCACCAATAATACAGTCCCAACAGACATGGTTTTTACATTGTTTCATGCTCATGGTATTCAAACAGGCCTAGTTGAAATAATGATGTATTTATTCCCCATATCACAAGCCCCCATGAGAATTGCATGAAATATTATTGCTGAGATTAGCCAGCATGTCGTGAAACAAACAGGGGTAGATTTTTTACTTTTCAGCTGCAAAGTGGTCTCTTTTTGACAAAGTACAATTAAA